GGTGTGCAGGATGCAGTCCATCAATGATTCTCTTTCATCATTGATGTTTCCATCTCTCTCTCCCTCTCTCTTGTTCTCTGAAATAATATATATGTATTTATGTTATTTATAAATATATATATCTTATTTAATAAAAGAGTAATATGCAAATCAACTGTCACTCCAACACACAAGATGGCCCCCCCCATGTGGTCAAAGATGGCCACCCCCATGTAGACACAAGATGGCCAGCAAGGGAGGGCAGTTGGTGGTGACCAGGCCTACAGGGAAGGGCAGTTGGGGGCAACCAGGCCTGCAGGGGAGGGCAGTTGGTGGTGATCAGGCCTACAGGAGAGGGCAGTTAGGGGTGACTAGGCCTACAGGGAAGGGCAGTTAGGGGCAAACAGGTTGGCAGGGGAGCTGTTAGGCATCAATCAGGCTGGCAAAGGAGTGGTTAGGGGATGATCAGGCTGGCAGGCAGAAGTGGTTAGAGGCAATGAGGCAGGCAGGCAGGCAAGCAGTTGGGAGCCAGCAGTCCTGGATTGTGAGAGAGATGTCTGACTGCCCATTTAGGCCCAATCCTGCAGATATCCTTTGAGGGGCCCCAGATTGGAGAGGGTGCAGGCTGGGCTAAGGGGCACCCCCACCTCTGTGCATGAATTTTGTGCACTGGGCCTCAAGTATATATACATATATAAAAAAAGATCTGCAGCCCTGGCCAGTGTGGCTTAGTTGGTTGAAGTGTCATCCCATGCACCAAAGGGCAACATGTTTAATTCCTGGTCAGCACACATGCCTAGGTTTTGGGTTTGATTCTTGGTCCAGAAGAGTATGGGAGGCAACCGATCAATGTTTCTTTCTCATTGATGTTCCTCTTTCTCGCTCCCTCTCTTTTCCTCTCTTTCTAAAAGCAATAAAAACATATTCTTAGGGAGGATATATTATTATTATTATTATTATTATTATTATTATTATTATTATTATTTAAAGAAGAGCTGCAGTTAACCCACAGCCACCAAACTGATGTGAGAAATAAAAATAATATAAAAATAATGTTTTCATAATCCATCGAGAATTTTAGGATCCTTTGTTTCTGCAGCCGAGACAATACAAAAACCAAGTCAAAAACAATAAATGGACCTAAATAGACATTTTTTAAAAGTGGACATACAGGGGAGGATCCAAGATGGCTGCTCGGGTAGACATCTAGCCGCGGCAGCACACAACAATTTCAATGGAATACAACTAAGATGTAGAGTGGACATTGCCCAGAGCTACAGGTAGTCGACAGACTGAAAATTCTACAACAAGAAGGAAAGAGAAAACCAGAAGGAAAATCAGAGGAGCTGAAAAAAAGCCTAAGGTACGGAGACATGCTGCGTGCTGGCCCGCACGCGCGCACGGAGAGGTCGCAGCCGGAGAGGTGGAGAGGGCGGGGAGCTGCCTTTCCTTCCCTAGCAGGAGGAAATAAAACCCCCAGCCTGGGCTGAACCCCCGAACCGGCAGCGCTGAGCTCCCCCGAACCGTCAGCGCTGAGCCCCAGTTATGGGCCAGACCCTGGGGACCCAGGCTCCGGCAAGAGGAGACGGGGCTGTGAGGTGGAAAAATGGCGAAAAGCAGGGCCCCGGGAGTCGCGCGCAATGCGCGCGCAGGACTGAATGTTGACTCTGATGCTGGGTTACCCTAGCCAGAAGAAACAAGGCCTCCGGTGGCGCTGGGCCTCAGTCCGGACTGCTCCGAACCCCAGTTCTGGGCCAATCCCTGGGGACCCGGACTCAGGCAGAGGGAGATGGGGCTGTGAGGTGGAGTCTGGGGAGAGCGGCGAAACGCCGGGCTCCCGGACTCGCGCAAACTGCGCGCAGAGGACAGTCTGTTGACTCTGATGCTGCACTCCCCTAGCGGGAAGGAGAAAAGAAAAAGCTCTAGGCTGGGGGAACGCAGAGGGGAGCGGAAGCCCCTGCCGGACTCCAGCCAACTGAGCACCAGCAAGGAGGCGGGCCACGGGGCCCCTGGGGGCGTGGGTGCCCCTGAGCCTTTGACCACTGAGCTCGGGCAATGGAGCCAAGGCCGGGGGCTGCTTCCTGGGCGGCGCCGTCCCGGCAACAGGCTGAAGCAGCAACAAAGGGGTGCCACAGGCCAACCTGCTGAGCTCCCAGGACAAGGAGGAAGAAGTTCTCAATGTGAAGAAATCAAGTGAGAGCAAAAAATAGTAAAATTACTTAAGAAAGAATACAAAGAAGATCTTGAAAAATCAAAGACTAAGTCAGAACTCAACTCACCAGCCAACATTGCAACATAAATGCGTTTTAAAAAGAAAAAAGAAAAAAAAAAAAAAAGGACAGAATGTTGGAACAGCGGCAGCCAGGCCTAGAGTGGCCAGGCACAAGGCAGTGGCAGCCAGGCCCGGAGCAGCAACGGCCAGGCCCCAGAGCAGCAGCAGCCAGAACCAGAGCATCAACAGTCAGCACTGGAGCAGCCAGACCTGGGGCAGTGGCAGCCAGGCCTGAGGCGGAGGCGGCCAAGCCCAGGGTGGCCAGTCCAGGAACACCCAGACCCAGAGTGGCCGGGCCCGGAGAAGCCGGGCCCAGAACAGCAGTAGCCAAGCCCAGAGCATCCAGGTCGGGAGTGGCCAGGCTCGGAACGGCTGGGCCCGGGGCAGCCGGGTCGGGTGCGGCCAGACCCGGAGCAGTGGCTGCCAGGCTGGGAGCGGCCAGGCCCGGGGGAGCAGCAGCCAAGTCCAGAGCAACTAGGTCAGTAGCGGCAGTGACCAGACCCGGAGCAGCTGGTTGTGGAACGAACCAGAGCAACAGAGGCCAGGCCCTGAGCAGCCAGGCCCAGTACAGCTCGCTCCTTGCCTGCCCCTGCCCCACGGCTGCTTCTCAGATATGGCTGGAAACTTTCGTGGGAACTTGAGGGTCTGCTGAATCAAGTGATGAAGGCTTAGATCTGGATGTGTTGAGTTAGTTTAGGACTGGGGTGTTGATCTGTGAGTGCCTTGGGTGGGGCCTGGATAAGGCTGGTGGACCTATTGGGAAATGTCTTTTGTGTGAAGTGTATCATTGGGCATGTGGAGGTATTATTGATATGAGAAAATGTTAAGTAACTGATTTACTATCTGAAAAGGGATTTACTATTGGGGAAATTGAGGGAAGAAGAGACTGAACATAAACTGCACCTATGGATGAGGACAATGGGGGATGGGGAGGGGGCAGAGGGTGGGGTGGGAACCTAGTGGAGGGGGGAAGAAATGAGGAACCTTTGTAATAATATGAACAATAAAGATTGATTTAAAAAAAAAAAAGTGGACATACAGAAGGCCAAGAGACATATGAAAACATGCTCAAAGTCACTAATCATTTGGGAGATGCAAATCAAAACAAGTGAGGTACCATCTCACACCTGTCAGAATAGCTATCATCAATAAATCAACAAAGACAAGTGCTGGCGGGGATGTAGAGGAAAAGGAACCCTCTGGCATTGCTGGTAGGACAGCAGACTGGTGTAGCCGCTGTGGAAAACAGTATGACGTTCCCTCAAAAAATTAAAAATGAAACTTCTATTTGAGCCAGTAATCCCACTTCTAGGAATATATACCAAGAAAACAGAAATAGCAATCAGAAAGGATATGTGCACCCATATGTTCATAGAAGCATAATTTACAATAGCTAAGATTTGGAAACAGCCTAAGTGCCCATTAGCAGATGAGTGGATTAGAAAACTATGGTACATCTACACAATTATTACTACACTGCTATAAAAAAAGAAGGAATTATTATCATTTGCAACTGCATGGATGGAACTGGAGAGCATTATACTAAGTAAAATAAGCCAATAAGAGAAATACAAATATCACATGATCTTATTGCGGAATAGAATGAACAACATAAACTGATGAACAAACATAGAACCAGTCATGGAAGCATTGAACGGGTGATCCAACCTATGAGGGAAGGCAGGGGCTCAGGGGGTAAGAGATCAACCAAAGGACTTGTGTGCATGCATATGAGCATAACCAATGGACACAGGCAGTAGGGAGGTGAGGGCATGTGTTGGGGTGTGAGAGCGGCTAGGGAGAGGTCAATGGGGGAAAAGGGAGACTCATGTAATACTTTAAACAATAAAGAATACAAAAGAAACAATAAATGGAAGATATAATAAATGAAATAGTCACAATTTCCAGTCACCTTTATTTATATAAAACTATATTAAATAAATTACCTCAATATATACAAATAGACCAATATTACCTCTATAAATAGAAAGTCCCCATATATAAAACCTTTAAAAAATTTTATAAATATACACAATGTTGACCATATAAACTTGAAGTACCTTAAATCATAAACTTTAGTTTTTGTATAGTAGTCTTATAAAAATATAGCTAGCTGTCAAGTGTTTAATCAATAGCATTTAAGTCAGTTAAAGTGCTAAACTGTAATGCATATGTCCAAAGTTGTCAGGCTTGGTCAGGCAAAGCAGAAGTCTTCTGCACTTAACACATGCATATGTTTTGCCAACTGTTTTGAACCTCCAAAAGAACTCTTAAGAAAAAAACAAACACCGAAACTCCACATTTTAAAAGGACAGACGCAAGTTAGAAAAGTCCACCCAATTTCCATTTTACTCTCCCACATGGCTTGTAGTCAGCGCATTGAAAGTACTCCAAAAGTCCACCCAGGACTTTTTAAAGCATTTGTTTGTTTTTGCTTAGATGACCTGTTTCGTCTTGAGTGTAGAAAATACAGTCTAAAGCATGATATGTGCAAAAGGTGCCGTAGTGTTAAAAAAAATACATTTAAAAAACTTGGAATTGGCTGTACCGTTCGTTACATTCAAAAGTGACTAGTGCTGGTCTCAAAACCAGAATGCTTATCATGAGAACAGTCAAATAAAGAATTTCCTTTGGGCCCAAGGGTCTCCATGCTCCAAAATATTCATTTTTGTTTCCATATATTCCATTCTTTTCAAAGTTCTCTGTCACATAAACTCTGTGGAAGCTGGCAGCTCCAATGTCACGTGCTTTACGCAACACCGTAGGGGGAGCCCTCCTTGCCACTTCGCCTTCTTCTGTCCTTCCTGCACTTGTACAGACACAGGGCTAGGGTGATGATGAAGATGATGGCTACGAACACCACTGCTCCGATGATGAAGAAGATGTCTGAAAAAGAAAAGTTACCAAGTCAATGTGGAGAGAGAGCTTGAACCTCACTTATCAGTGGACAGAACTGAGGGCTTCACTCCAAATTACACCATCCTGCTTTTGCGTAATTTGAAATTTCTTTCCTCTGCTCTTTCCACCACAACGCATTTTGGTTAGGAAAGAATTTGTCAAACCCTAGGTTTTGCAGGGCAATTGACAAAGGCCAAAAGCTTTAAGTAGGCCATTTAGAAAACTGGATAATGTTCATAGTCTAGAGAAGGAACACATAGATTGAAGGAAGAACAGCTGTTAAAAACAATTGGTTAAAAATAGTGCATAATGCTGAGTTTGGTGGTAAATGATTACAGATGAACTATCAGTGCAAGAAGACACACAGAGGGCTACCAGAATTCAGCTGAGAGAGACGATAACTGGCTGGGGCAATAAGAAGACTTCTGGGTGGAGGTGGTAATCACAATGGTTCTCAAAGGACGCATTTCAGCAGATACAGAAGAGGCCTGGGAAGCAGCGATCAGGATGTGCACGAAGACAGAGGCAGCAGAAATCGAGTGGCTTTAGGAAGATGGATGTGAGGGCTGTGGGTACGATGGCCCAGAGGGTGCAGGACCAGAGAGAAGGAGGGTCCTTTCCTTCTGTCAGTGTCAACAAATGGAGGAGAATTTATATAAAATGTTTTTAAAATTTAAAATCTCTTCTTGGCAAGGAGCTAGGCCTTCGTTACTATCTTTTGACTTTCAATCTCTGGAAGTACTCAGAGCACTTACTTTACAAAGCCTGGAGAGAGACTCCTAGGCTTACAGTTTCATGTACATACGTGTGTACATACCCACAGAAATTCCTCTCTCCTCACTGTGTGTGGGCCCCATGTGTGCATGCATGGACACACATACATGGGTATAGGTGACAGACTGAATCTCTTTCCTTAATGGGTTAGACTTTACAGCCCACTGTGGGTGCTCACAGCTGGTCCAGATGCTCCCCCCTAAACCCCGAAGATTAGAATTTAAGTATGAAAACATGCCCAGAGAAATCTGTGATCCATACTAAACCCCAAACACGGACTATGTGCCTAGCACTCAGCAGAGAGCTTAGTGCATGGTAGGCGCTAAGAAAATACTCGCCACTGTAAGAAACAACAGAGAGACATTTCTAACTGCCTAAAATGATGAGTGACTTCCAAAAAAACACAAAACCAAGAAAAACCAAGACGCGTCTCTCTGAACAGAGGACATCCTGGTTCTGCGGGTGGAGCTGATCCTCTGGAGGGCACCTGTGCCTCCGCGCCTGCTGGGCAGAGCCACTCACCTTTGAAAATGCCCTTCTCGTGGCTGGTGCACTCAATGGGGCTTTCTGGACTCCTCTGGTTAGCTTTTCGTGAGGCAATCACGGCTTGAACATTGAAACAGTAGTTTTGTCCTTTCTCCACATCAATCGAAAACTCATTAGTGTTCGTCTTGACCATTTTCTGTTAAAAGATAAAGAGTTCTTAATGCATCTGGGCTCCGAGTGAGTTCTCTCTCCTTTACCCGGTCACTGTGGAAGCAAAAGCCTACGCGCACACATCTGATGTATACAGGACTAGAAGTCACTTGGCTAAATATTCCTCGTGCTAACTGCTGAGGGTGCTTTTTCCCAACAGTAGAGATTTCCAACTTAGTCCCTGTAGGAGATGTTTGCAGTAAAGGAAAGGAAGGATGATGCATTAATTGTTGAATGGAAAACAAATTGTGTCTCTGTGATCCTCCATAGAGAAAGAAATGTGAGACCTGACAGGAACTTTAGAGATGATCTGGTCCAGCCCCTTGGCTGAGGAACCTGGGCATCCAAAGGGGCCTGGCCCAAAGTCACAAGGTCACTCAAAGTCACCGGTAGAACCAGGACAGCAAGCACCCCTCTCACTCCTCTTACCCACACACTGCCCTCTGAACCACCCCATTCTGCTACTTTTGAATTGGGGCAGAAGAGGGTTGTAAAATCAAGGGCCCACGATTTAAAGTCAGTCATAGAAACCAGTGAAAAGATATCCTCACCTTTCCTGTACTTGCAGCTTTCCAATAGTAAAGTGTGTAACTTAAGTCCTCGCCAAAGACATCCCGGAGGCTCAGGAATGTGCCATTCTTTCTGACTAAGGTCCTTGTATCCTGTACCGTCACGTTCAGTTTTGTCCCAATTTGCTCAAAACTCTGAATTGTTGGCCGTCCGAGGCTTGCTAAAACAGAAAATAAACTTCATTGGAACCAAAGAATTCTCTACAAATAGAACCCCATTTAGTTATCACAGTTAATTCCCTGGTCATCCCTCATAAAACACTTGCTGAGAACCCGCTCCCTAGCAATAGTGAGGCAAGAGGCACCCGAGACCTGCTATAGAAGCGCTATCCATTGGATGTATAACCGGAGCTACCGATGTTAAGTTGCATTTCCTTGCAATCACATTAGAAAATGTGAAAAGGAAAAGGTGAAATGAATTCCAGTAATACAATTTATTTAACCCATTATAGTGAAAATAATATTATCATTTCAACAGGTAATCAATCTAAAACTTTTGGAGATATCTTTCAAAATCTAGTGTGTATTTTTTTACCCGTATAGCATTTGCCACATTTCTAGGGCTCAATAACTATACATGGTTAGAGGCTAATGTATTAAATAACACAGTTGCACAAGATTCCATATTTTAATTAAAATAAATGAGGGCTGTGGGAAAGTCCAGGAGATGTCCTGGCACCTCAAGGAACCAGTGTTAAGCCCTGGGAGTCTGGAGGGCTCAAAGATCCCAGGTGCTTTGAATAACAATAAAATCAACCCCAACAATTTAACACAAATTATGTGCGGGCACATGCAAAATGAATATGCAAACTATATTTTATCTTGTACCAAAAAGGGATTTAAAATGGCCCACAAAAAAAAAAACAAACCCCAAAACTATACTACAAAACCAAGTGGGTGCCATCAACGGAAGGAGGAGAATCAGCGATCTGGGGCAGAGTTACCAGAGGGGGCATGAATGTGGTGTCCAATGCCCAGCTGGATGCCGTGACAAATACACAAGCGAGAGACAGGTTCTGTCAGACAGGGGCTCAGGAAAGGCAGCCAGACCCACCTGGGCTAAGGTTACCTTCTGTTTCGACCCTCCAAGTAGATACCAGAGGGGAAAGGTTGATTGCCTGTCCCTCTGCCCCTTCTCACCATTCCCGCCTCCAGAAACTCTCCTCTCTCACTGGGTGGTCAGAGGGGTAGATAGAAAAGCATCGACAGCATGACCCTTTCATTTTAACCTTTCATTCTAGGTCTTCCTCAAAGACCTTTGAAGATTTAAAGACCTTAAAAGACCTTAAAAGATTTCACCCTTCCCAGTGTGTTTACAGGTTTATTTAAAATACCTAGTTGAGAGCCATAGTCAGGCCACAAAATGTAATCTCCTACTTGGCTGGGATCCTGTGCATTCCCCTGGGGGATACTAAGGTCTGCTTACTGGGGCAAAGGCGGAGGAAGAAAACACTCTGCACTTTCAAAACCTGCACGAAGCAGGCAGGCTGGGAGGGGCTGGGCAAGCGCCTGGCACAGCACTAGGCTCAACCTTGGCCAGATGAGGTCAGCAAGCCTGACTCTGGATCAGAGGGAAACTGGACTTTCCTTGAGCAGTTGTGACTGTGAAAAACTGTAAACTGGGACTTCTGGTCTGATGATGGGATGGAAATGGTGTGTGTGTGTGTGTGTGTGTGTGTGTGTGTGTGTGTGTAAGTGTATGTGCATGTAAATAAAATTTCCAAAATATATATGGAGAAACACTAAAACCCCAGTCCTGGTGGATGTCCTATTCCCTCAGGCCCCATCCGGCCTGTTACTGGCAAGGTCTGGGCTTAGGCTGGTGGAGAAAGTTACTTGATGTCACTGTTATCAACTCCAAAGTTCAAGCTCAGGGCACCTCCTACCACACTAGAATGAGTGAAGAGGGCTGGGGCACTTTCTGGTTCCTGAGAAAAAAGACGTGGTTCTGATTTACTGGCCCCTAAGGGTCATGAGCTCACAAAAGATCCAGGAGCTTATAGAAATGAGAATGAAACGGATCGACTTACTCTCTAAGTAAGGAATGAACTCCGGGGAGTTTGTGTACTTGGGCTCCCCCTCGTAACCGGTGGCATTGGCAGGCATGGAAAGGACCCGCGCTGAGTATATCTGCTTCACGTCTTTCACAATCTCATCAGTGAGGTCACACTCTGTGTCTGTGATGAAGTAGCATTTGCTTTTCCAATTTCCTAACCTATGGCTAAAGGAAGGAAGAGAAATGGAACATTAGGATTTGTATCCAACAAGACAGATGGCTTTCTGGCGGTGGTGCTGTTACAATAATAGCATCCACAACCACTCGTGAGCAGGCACTCCCATGCTTAGCACTGTAGATGCACTAGAGTCCTCACAGTCACCGGGGGTGGCTCTGTAACCATCTCTCTTTTCATAATAAGGTAACCGAAGCAAAAGGGGATTAGGTGACCGGCTCAGTCACACAAATGACCTAACTTTAAGCCAGACAACAGTTTTTGGGGTCTGCTCTTAACTGTTTTGTTAACTATCTTTCTTAGAATGTACACAATTTTTTATTAAGGCCCGATTACTTATTACTTAGTATATTGTACTACATTCTATTTATTATAAACATTCTATATTGTAGACATAGACAATGTAGTAATAATGGAACCTAAATGATATATTCTACACATTACATTCTATCACAACAATTGTTGGTGTAGTTATTTAATATTTTTTGAATCTACTATATGCCAGGTACAATACTAGGCCCTTTTTCACGTTACTTCATTTGATATGATCCTTCCAAGAAGGTATTGGATCTTTTTTTAGACACAAGGATACTGAAGCTCAATACGCTAAGTAATTTGTACAAGGTCATGTATTAATAACAAGGTGAGAGCTGTGTCTGTTCAATCTCATTCTGCTACATGCCTCTCTCACTTTTAAATGATGTGACTACTTCCCAATAAAGATATCAGAATAACAATAGTATCTCTCTCACAAAGCCTGACAGACTAAGAGGCTAAAATACCTTCCTTCATTGAAGAGGAAATTATTTAAAAAACTTCTATAAATACAAAATTATTGTAAAGGACCCAAACAATCCATAGATAAATGTCTCTGCGACTTGATCCACACATTTCTGTCCCCTCTGAATTGACAGCCACACTGCTCTTCCCTTCTCTTCAGCATTATCCACTGCCTCCGCCCCGTCCGTCATTTAGGGCCTTGTTCCAGTCCCATTTCCCCTGGAAATTCCAGATCTCCTTGCTCAGATCTGATCTCTTCCCCGCTGTTCCCCAGCACCGATCTCTTCACTAAAGCACTTTATGTTGAACACAGTCTGCATGGGACCAGGGGTCCATGCCCTTGGGTTTGCTGTCAAGCAGCAAGGCTTTAGGGCTTATACACCACAGGCCTTGTTCAGTATTAGATCGTTGGCATTTACAGGTTGAATTAGGGGGAAAACAAACTGAATTCAATCCATGCCCATGAGCCATAAACAGGTAGTTTTCAAAAATTGGAGCTAAATAACACTTTTTGTCCTAAAATTCACAAACTAACATTGATACAGAAAGATTTTGATTTCTTAGATTTCTCTGATTTTCTATGATAGAAGTAGAGAGGCTGTTTTAATTCTGGAGTGAAAAAGGTGAAGGAAAACATGATGATGATTCTTCATCCTATGGCAAACATGTTGTTCAGATAACAAGAGAAAGACTGCTGGGCTCTGAGGCTACATTCCCTCTGACAGTTCCGTATTTGGTTTCTCCCAGCTAACCCATAGGAATTACAGCACACAACATCACCAAAGCCAGTGACATGGGTAAAGTTGCGTAAACAAGTAGTAAAGGGGCAATTCTGAAGTAAGCTCCTCTGAGCACTGTTACCAGCACTAACACTTTAAAAGCCTTCAAGGATCCTCTAAGTACTCATTGAAAAAATCTCCTGACTTGGAAAAAATAAAAGTCCTGCCTCGATTACTAAAAAATTCCAACGGAATCAAGACTCATAATAAACGTCCTGCCTCAATCACTAAAGAGTTCCAACGGAATCAAGACTCATCAACATAGGAACTGGTTGTTTTCTAGAAGCTTTTAAAGTTCCATTTTAGAATTCAAACATTCCCATGGGATCAGTCTTACATCCTAGGTGATGTTTCAGTGCTTGAGCCAATAGCAGTTTGCAACCATCACTGGAACGATTTCCAAGTGGGAAAAACACAGTTGGAGCTCCAAGTAGGAGCTGCAGGCCCAGCAGTGGTGCCCAGTGGCTGGGGACAGGCCTGTGGTGGGTGCAAAGGAGCAGCAGGTGGAGAGGAGTAGCGGGTGGAGATGCTGCCTTTAGAGAAGGAAAACCGGGAGGGAAGGTGGCCCCAATGAGAAGAAACCTCGCAGAAAAACCTGAGGAATAAGGGGAAACTGGTGTTTTGGCACCAACCCTTCTTCCTCTTCCCAACTGTCGGGGAGCTCCCATCGGCTGTGGCAGACCTGCCAGAAAAGGTGGTGGAGGTAGAATACTGGGCAGACCTTGGTTCCAGACCCAGCTGGGCACTTATCATCAACTAATTAACTCATGAATTAATCCCTCATCTGCCTAGGGCAGTGGTCAGCAAACTGCGGCTCTGTTGACTAGTTAGTTTGCCGACCACTGACCGAGACTCTCGATTCCAATAATTACAGGCTGCTATTGTTCCTTGGGATTAAGCCCCTATCCCCATGGTTGGCAAACTCATTAGTCAACGGAGCGGCAAACCGTGGCTCGCGAGCCGCATGTGGCTCTCGAGCCGCAGTTTGCCAACCACTGTCCTAGGGCAATGGTTTCCTTTTCTTTAAAATGACTGCTATGATCCTGTTCACCAGGAAACCCGTTTACCTCACAGCTACAACACAGAAGAGGGAGGTCTGCAGCAGGATGGAGGGACTGCTCGCAGGTCCTCTAGCACATGGGCGAGAGTATGAGGAGTTCTGGGCTCCGCAAGAACCCCAAGTCCCCGGGCACCCCCAACCAGCATCTCTGAACCAGGATGTTTGCACACCGCGGCTGCGTTCACCTGAATAGCAGCCCTGGGAAGTTTAAGAACTGAGAGCTAACAAAGGCTTGTATTTAAAAACCAGGGAAACCATAAATATGTTCCCACACACTCACTAGACATCAGACTGAATATATTTAGGAGGTAACCATTTCTCCCAAAATGTGACTTTCAATTTCCGGAAGAAAAGTATCTACTGAAGTCAACTTCAGCTCTGTATTCTTGACTAGTGGAATCCGAATTGACAACTTTGACCATATTCGTAATTATGACCTCGGGTTATGAAATTCCTTTCTCTCCCTCCCTCTGGCTACACATACATTTGCGCGCGCACTCACACATTCTCTTCTCTGTTGGTTTGGCAACAGTCATCATGAAGTTCATTTGTACAACAAGGACATCTACCTAAAAGACTGCCTCTGTGTAGGAGTTGCATTCTTAAAGCTATAAAAAGGCTTGACAAACTAAACAATACAAAAAGCAAAACACCTTCATTTTAGCCAGTGATACTTTTGTGCTTTTACACAATATGTTAAAATAATTTCCACAGCTGCTCTAATTAATAAGATCTCTACCAAGCCTCCTAGGACCTTTCAGAAATGAGAAACTTACAAGAATAGAGAGAAAACCATCACGGAAGACATGTCAATATTTCGACAGTATACTGAATTATGGGCTCTTAGGGAGAACTGTCTATCAGAGGAGCGTTGACAGCTGAGCGTGCAGGCAGAGGAGTATTTCTTTCCAGGTGGTGAGTCACGAAACTGACCTCCTCTGTTAGCACGTATACAAACAAAGTATAAATCACCAGTCCAAGGATGGACGCATCGACATTGCTTCAGGGCAATGTATGTATCCAAACTCCTGCCTACCTCTTCCCTAACACGTTAGAGCAGGCTTACAGTCTAGACAGCACTGAAAAAGACGCGTGTGCTTAGGTGAGATTAATTATCCGTCCAGAATCATATCATCAGTGACAACGAGGCTTACTGGAGAAGATTCACCTCTCCACAGCTTCTATCCCACTTAGGAATTTCCCCGTCACCTCCAAAAGCAATTAAAATGTTTTAACAGTTTAAGAGCTGGAAATGTTGCAGGCTTAGCAGAGTATGGCAAATTACCATGTCATCTATTCAATAATCTCAACCATCAGTCAACTTTAAAGACATTTAACGTAGGACCGTCAAAACAGCACAGGGAAGGAGAAACATCAAAAGCCGTATTTTCCTCTTTTTGTATCTAACTTACCTTATTTGAACAGTGTAGACATGATTGATGGGTTTGGGTTCCCACTCCAAAATTGTCTTGAAATTCGTTGATTTCCAAGTTAAATTATATGCTACTACCACACCTGTAGTGTCTTTAAACAAGAGGAACAGCTATTACTACATGAACTTCTTAGCACATGATTTCACATTGAAGGTATAAAACTCCTTACCCCATAAACCTCACACTAATATTTTTCCAATGATGAAAGCTTCACTACTGAATTATCCAGAGGAAAAAAAAAATTCAACTTTTTCCCAAACCCAGAATTTCCTCATGGTAGGCTCTTCATTGTAATGCAAGGAAACAGGCAAGGATCTTGAAATTATTGTTTGAAATCATTCATGTGGTCTCCCTGTGATAGCCTGACCTGGAAGCACAGCCCAGAAGCCATCAGGGCCTTAAGGGGGTCCATGACCCCTAGCTGGGGGAACCTGGGACTCTAAGATTGAACTCTGGCATGGAAAACCAGCTATGAAGGGTCTTCCCTAAGTTATGAAAAAGGGCAAATCCCCCATGTGTGAGAGCAGTAAGGCCTGCATCTAATGAAAAAGCCAAATCTTGATCCTTTTTATTTTTATCTAAAACGTCTCTATCCTGAAACTTCAGTAGACAGCTAGACAGATGCTGGGCCGGTCACACCAGAGCATGTACACTGGTTAGGATGCTTTGTTATTAAGGTCTGCGTTGCCCATTCTGACTGGGCAGGTCAGTCACTGCCTTGTTTCGCATAGGCATATTGAGGCATGGACAGTGGAATGACTTCTTCCATCCAAGCGACATTCTGCAACAGGATTGCCTCTCCCTCAATCTAAACGAGGAGGATCAAGACAACACCGAGGGCCGCTCTTTAGGAAGTGCACACTTAAGGATAACATCCAAACCACTGCATGCTGACCCGTGCAGGTGCGGACCCAAGTTCCACCTTCAAGGTCACTGGGAATCTCTTTCCCTAAACTTAAAGCTGGAGCCACAACTTGACAAGACACAACTACACATCTCCCAGGAAGCATCTCTAGCAGAAGCAGGCCGGGTTCCAGGCACCAACCGCCTACCCTCCAACTCGCGCCCAGGTTGGTCCAGGTGGGTGAGCCTGGCTGAGTTGGGCAGGCGCTGGGGGGCACCTCCAGGCAGCAGGACGGATCCCCGCTTCGGGCAGAGCGCCCCAGGAATTCGGGGAGGCGGTCGCCACTCACCTGAGGCTCCGGCCGCCTGGACCAGGACCCAGGCGAGGAGGAGGAGGAGCGTCCTAGAGACGGCGGCCTCGGGGCAGGTCAGCCGGGGTCCGGCGGGAGACGCCATGTCCATGAGCCGGCGGCGAGGTCGGGAGGATTCGTTGCGCCCCGAAGGCTGGGAAGGCTGGGAAGGCTGGGCTGAAACGCGCCCGTGGGGAGAGAGAGAACGCGGGGAGCCGAGTCCAGAGCCGCGGGAGCCGGGCGCGCTATTAAAGGGCCGCGCGCTCCCCGCGCCTCCGCGATCCCGCGCCGCCGCGCCGGCTCCCCGCCCCCGCGGTGGGCGGTGAGTCCACACCCCTGCCCCGCCTCCTCCGCTAGGAAACTCCGGGACCCTGACAGGAGGAGTGATTCACCCGTGATTCAACCGCTCCAGCCGCGCCGAGCTCCGAGGGGCCCTCGGTCGCTGGAGGCTCCAGGTGCCCGGGTGGGGTAGTGGTGGTGAGCGGGGGAGACCAGGTCTCCTGCCCCCTCTATCCCCCCCCACCCAGGTCTCCTGACCCTCAGCCCCCTGACCCCAGGCCACCGGGGCAGCGACTCCGCCGTCCAGCCTGAGCGGATGGCAGGTCTGTGTGGGGAGAAAGAAAGAGCTCTCGGGATGGAGGAGAGGGAAACCCGGTGACAGCGTGTGGTCCGGGCTGGGGGAGCGGGAGCGCTCACCAAGTTTAATAGCAAGAACCAGCTCCTGGCACCAGCTCAGCTTCACACCAAAGGGCATTTCCACCCCCGCACTTTGCCCACGTCGGGGCTGGGCCTGGGAATCTGCAGCCCAGTAACCCCGTGGCGATGCGCAGGGAGGCCCTCTCCCCCGGCGGTTTCGTCTTCTGCCCAGAAAGCTGTGGGTACCTGGCCTTCCTCCCCGCCCGGCCCTCAGCGCGGGTCCTTGGAGGAGGTGCAGATGCAGGTGTCTGCCTCAGGTCCCAAGGCCAGTTAACCCCTGAACGACCCGGGTAGTGCCCTCGGAAAAGCAGCTCCAGACCTGGCATTTTGCCTCTGGGAGAGTTCCAGGGGGACATCTGCAGCGTCGTGGTTCCAGAAGGGATTGTTCTCACATCGAGGAAGACAGCTGTGGGACTGAGTTCCGCTCAAGAGCAGGGAAACAAAAATGAAATGAAATTATGTAATTACATTTTCGTGCCGCTACTGTTAAGTTTTGGGTTTCCTGAATTAGTTTCTGGCTTCCTCTTCTGGGCTCTGCTGTGAAATGGTTAGGCAAGAGAATGTCCACCTTATTCTATGGAGTGGCATTGCACGCGGGCTGGTCAAAGCACTTCCCGTCATTCGTTATTACTGTGTAGTTGCCTCCAAGACAGTCTGGAGAGCTTTTAGGGGGAGAGTGGAATCTTTTTTTTCTCACCTTCTTTCCCATCTTTTTTCCCCCCTAGGGAAATTAGTTTTGCATTCTAGTGCATACTGCACACACATTTCCGTATAGCCCGCTGAGCCATCGCATTGCCCGCATTTCTTAAAAAAAGAAAAAAAAGGAAAAAAAAGAAATAAAACTTTGCAAAAGTTTTAGCTTCTCCCTTTGCCTGAACTGAAATAGCACATCCAGGTTTAGCTCTTGTAGTCCTTCCGTCCTGGAAGGTGTGAGTTGCACTTGCTGGTTTCCTCTTTGAGCTCTCTTCCAGCTCTAAAACCCACAACGTTTATATTTGCAAACCTAAGCCATGCAATCCTTCTTTTCGAAGTTGCTGGCCTGAGTATTTTCTAACAGATCTTTAGCCCCATGTGGAATTTTTTTTTTTTTTTTTTTTTTTTTTTTTTTTTTTTTTTTTTTTACTCTGGAGTGAAGGTAAGGAGGAGGAAATGTTACACATCAATCAAGTATGTTAGGGGACCCAAGGAATTATTGCTATGTCTGCTATTTCTGTTGGAACTACCAACTGTCCTGAAATCATAAAGGGCTTTAAGCCATGTCAAGAATAGCATTGTGATAAGAAAAATATGTTTAACATTAGATTTTGATACAACGTTAAAGATTGATAGATCACGTGAATGTTTATTTTGCACACTCACTAAAATTATCAGACAGAGAAGAGAGGAATTTCTTGGGTGTTTGCATAGCTTTTGGAGTAAATATAGAATAACATTCTTCAAGATTTTAATAATGCTAAAATTATTACTAATTTTGAGAAGATGAGGGAGAAAATTGTCTATGATAAATATCTCACAGCAAAATTTTTTCTTGCTTGATCAGACTATAGCCAGATGCTTGCTCAGCATCATTGAAAGTACATTTTTTAAAATTTCACTATTGATAGTTATTGCACAGGAACAAATTGGTTGTTAAAGAATTTCATTAACCTTACACAACAGTTTTTAAAAAACCCCTTCAGTAAAGTCAAGCTTAGCAGTTACCACTGTTCCTTTCAACATGATATATCTTGGAGACTGAGAAGTTTGAAAAACTCCTCAACTTCAATCTGGCTGGCCTGACCAAGCCCTTTATGATTAGGTATCAGAATGTCAGAGGGCAGGAGGGGACCTCACAGACATCCTTTTAAGATGAGAATCCTGCGGTCACCTGGCCTGAGTGAAACTAGCTTGCCTAATCTTCTGGCCCCAGGAGATTTCTTTCCATTGCCACGCTTTCTTCTACTCCCAATGCCCGAAGTGCGATTGGGCTATAGGCCAGGCTTACTGGGTTAATTTGTACAACCATAGGCACTTAACCATGCTCTTCAGCTAGTGAGTAACAAACTTGCAGTTCGGGGTCCTCAGTGTTCTTCAGCAGAAATTATCCTGATGGTTATTCCTTGAAACATACGTGTATGGAGACATGTTCGCAGAAGAGGGAGGTTGCGTTGCCTTTGCATAACCAGTGATGAAATGTGGTTGACAAGGAGTGGGAAGATGCCTGGGGTTTTGTTGCAGCCCTTCCTCTGTGCTTTTATAGCGCTCACCACCCATCTCACCCCCTTGACTATTGCGGGCTTTACTTGCTTTCCACTGATTGTCGGCTGTCTTCCCCACTACAGCTCTTTGGGAGAATAAGGAGATTTTTTTTTTTTCCTTTAAATTTTCTCAATTCTTTGCCCAATTACCAGCACATGATAGACTTTGTAAAAAAAATAAATAAATACATTTTTATTGATTTCAGAGAGAACAGAGAGGGGGAGAGAGAGATAGAAACATTAATGAGGAGAGAGAATCATTGATTTGGCCGCCTTCTGCATGCCCCAAACTGGGGATTGAGCCCACAGCCCAGGCATGTGCCCTGACCAGGAATCGAACCTCAACCTCCCAGTTCATAGGTCGATGTTCAAAGGCTGAGCCATGCTAGCTGAGCCACATGGTAGACTTTTAACACATTCAGAATCAATGACTGCTTTGGAACCATGCATGCAGCCAAATATTTTCATTGGTATTTAAGATATGAAATTTGTCTTTGAAAATTTTCTGTCTCAGGACTGAGTGTTCCAAAATGCTTACTTTGGTAAAATAAATAAATAAATAAATAAATAAATCCATTGTGGCTTTCAAGGTATCACTTGACAGCAAACTTCAGCTGTCTAACTACCGTGTTTCCCCCAAAATAAAACATCCTCCGAAAATAAGACCTACTCACAGGTTTCCTTCTGAATGAAATATAAGGCATCCCCCTGAAAATAAGTCCTCTCCCCACCCCCCGGCTCTGTCTCAGAATGAAAATTAATTAGCCATACCATATACAGGTAATAAATTTCCTTTATTTTCATTTAACAATAAATGTGTACCTTATTCTTCTTTTTGGAAAAATAAGACATCCCCTGAAAATAAGACCTAACGCATCTTTGGGAGCAAAAGTTAATATAAGACACTGTCTTATTTTCGGGGAAACAGGGTAGGGATTACTAATCCTTGCTACTCGGGAAAATCTAATCAGCAGGAGAGGTAGCTGAGCAGCAGAAAACAAATGCGGAAGTTTGGGAACTATTAGCATTTTTCGTAAAGACTGGATTCTGGCATGAGTCAGGAGAACTTTCAGCCACGTGATGAAGCTGTTGATAGCTGTCCTTGCATTGCAAAGCTTGGTAATTTTTCGGAATGAATTGCACAAAATGTATATCTTTCCAGGAAAGGGAGAAATTGAGAGTAATTCATATAAAACTATTACATGCATATAAAATGGCAAAAAGAGCAATGAAATCATGTTACCCCAAATTCAGGTAAAAGAGAAAATATGAGAAAAGACCAGAGGAAATTACGGGTAGGAACACAGCCCAGATGGTGTGGCTTCGTGGTTGAACACGGATCCATGAATTAGGGGGTCATGGTTCCATTCCTGGTCAGGGCACATGCCCTGGTTGATCTCCAGTAGGGAGCGTGCAGGAGCCAACTGATCAATGATTCTCATCATTGATGTTTTTATCTCTCCCGCTCTGTTCTCTCTGAAATCAATAAAAATATAGTAAAACAAAAACAAAAACAGTGGGAACACAAAGTTCCAGGGGGGAAAAAAGTGACTCAGCAGAAACTAAAACACATCTGGCAGGGTATAGTTAGTCATGGAAAATTTGGCAGTCATGATTATGCATTTTGTAAAAATAATTATATGCTAGTCCAACTGCTAACATTTAGGCCAAAATTAAATAGTTGAAAGCCCATACAATGAAATCTATTATCCTGGTAATTCAAATCCTTCTATTAAAGTTTAAAGAAAGCTTTGACAAATAAGTGATCACATAGCACCAGTATTCTAAAAAATATAATTTTAGAGAAAAAAAATCTCCAGGTCAAATTAGGCAAGGATTAGTATTTTTTTTCTTTTTCTTTTTTCTTTTCTTTTTTTCTTTTTTCTTTTTTTATTTTGAAGGAATATTTAATATTAACATTGTGAGTTATTATCTTTTGCGTATCAAAGTTACACATTTCAAACAAATCATCATTTATATTTACAGTATACAAATGCAAAGCACTAATTTCCCACTAAATCATCACTTCCTTAAAATGGTACATGTGATGTTATGAAATTAGCTATTAAGTATTCGAAATAGTGGAAGAGAGGTCCTTTCTTCAGTCTTTTTTTTTTTTAATATATTTTTTTGATTTTTTTTTTTTTGCCCACCTCCCTCCCACACATCCCCT